GGTTCATATCTAGAGGTCCGTTGTCCGTTGCGTTGTGATTTAAGTACTGTAATATTGTATATGTTAAAAAAATGTGGCAACTATGTACTATTCTTAAGTTGAAACTAAAAATGTTAACATTAATTAATTTTATTAAGTTTTTACGTTTTACTAATTCTAGGTTCCACTCTATTAAAAACTATATCTAATAAATGAATAAAAATAATAATTATTAAGGTAAAGCTACTTATAAATAGAAAATCTGCGTTAGCTCACCGCCGGTTGGCAGAGTTCCCAGAAGGCTGGCAGCATTTCCATGCTGGATAGCAATGCTAATTCTTTGTGCAAAATACGTACCGGACTTTGGGTCTCCCGAGGCCTCAAAAATATATTTTTTAAGGTCCTTAAAAAAGCTTTTAGCAGATGGGCCCCAGGAGCTCAAAGTTTCCACCCCAAATGGAACAAAAATGAAATCTTTGGAGAGATTTTCATATTTCCGAATTTCGTCTTTCAGAACGTCAGTTGTTTGTGGTTTGTTCACCTAAACCCACTCTTTCAAATGGCCTCAGAGAAAATAATCCAGCGGCGATAAGCCACATGAACGAGGTGGCCAATTGACATCGCCAAATCGAGAAATTACGCGACCGGGAAGTTTCTCATACAATAAATGAATTGTTTGGCCGGCTGTGTGACTTGTCGCCGTCTTGTTGGAACCAAAGGTCACTAATGTCAACATTAGCCATTTGTGGCTACAAAAAATTGGTTATCATGGTTTGGTAGCGCAAAGAATTCACGGTGACGGCGTTTCCTTGCTCATTTTCGAAAAAATACGGGCCGATGATTCCGCCCGACCACAAACCTCACCATACGGTCAGTTTCTTTGGATATAATGGTTTTTCGAGGAGTGTTTGGGTAAAGGGTAAAAAATTCCTGTACTTCAGCAGAAAGAAATGCTGTTCCGCGATCTGAATGAACGTAAGAAGGCATGCCAAATATCATAAACAAGTTGCTAAGATGTTTAATCACTGTTTTCGAGCTTACATCTGAGCATGGGAATGCAAACGGGAAACGTGAAAATTCGTCAATCACGGTAAGTATGAATTTGTTGTTATTATTTGTTGGAACTGGTCCTTTAAAATCTATGCTAAGGCGTTCAAAAGCAGCCGTCGCTTTAACAAGTTTCCTCTGGTCATCAAAGGTATTTCGGAAGAATCTAGGTTTTATTTCAGAGCAGGTTCGACATGATTTTGTCATTGTTCTGACTTCTTCAATAGAATAGGGAAGGTTTTTAGAGCGAACTCAGTGAAACATTCTTGTTACCCCTGGATGACAAAGAGCCTCATGCAGCGAGAAAAGTTTTGCAGTACGTGTTTCTACAGTGGCACAAACTCGGGATAGTGCATCAGCAGCATAGTTCTCTTTCCCCGGTCTGTATATAATATCGTATTTGAAAGCAGCAAGTTCCAGTCGCGATCTTTGAATATTTTCATTCTTTATCTTATTTGAATGTTTCATATTAAACATAAAAGAAACCGAGCGTTGGTCAGTTACCAACTTAAAGTGTCTACCAATAAGGAAATGTCTCCATTTCTTCAATAATTCCACAATGGCGTACGCTTCTTTTTCAATGGCGAAATGGTTTTGTTCCCTTGAATTTAACGTTCTTGAGAAAAACGCCACTGGTCTAGAATTTTGCGTAAGTACTGCTGCAATGGAATGATCGGAAACGTCAGTTTCCACCATCGATATATTACCACTAGATAACGCATCACATACAAAAACCAAACACAAAAATGGCATCGACTAACTGATCTGACTACACCATCAAGTGGAGAAAAACGATGTATAATATAATAATTGTAACCTAAACTATGCCTTTTCCCCAAGCAATAAAGTGCAGTTTAGATTATTTTAACATTCACTTACGACTTTACGCCATAAATGACAGAAAAAGATAGTTTTTTACAATAACTTTTATTCCAAATTTAACCTTATCCCCTTAAAAATATAGCAAAAATTTACACGCATAGCATTTTACTTACGCCCTTTTAAACTTACAATATTAAGACTTTACTGCTCCGAACAGAGTATTACGGAGTCGCACTTTATACTTTTTTTGTAAGAATATTTTGAGTAATTTATTTTTTATTATGTTTTTTTAATTCATATTCATTCAATTTTTTCAATTTTTTCAATTTAATTCCATATGATTAACAACAAATATTGTATAACTATAGATAATTATACCTGAGTTAGCTATATTGTACCTTGCACATCGGTGGGGAAAATAGATAAGAGCTTTTTAAATCACAAAAACATAATCCCCATCAAATTGTTTTATTTATTAAATACATGTCAGATTCGGTAAAATGGTCTGCACAAACCACACTGGAGCAATTAGGTTTGAAATAATTGTTGCTTCTTTTTTCTTTTATTACTCTGTTATTAAATCTGTAAAAATGTAAAAACAAATTCCAGTTTACAGATTTCACTTCGCCGTCCATTGTACAGACGTCTGTTGCATTCGTATCTGATCTAGCGATACACGGGGTGTTCGAATCCCAGGCGGGTACCAATTTTTCTAATGAAATACGTACTTAACAAATGTTCACAATTGACTTCCACGGTGAACGAATAACATCGTGTAATAAAAATCAAACCCGCAAAATAATTTGCGTAATTACTGGTTGTAGGACCTCTTGTGGGTCCGCACGAGTAGGTACCACCACCCCACCTATTTCTGCCGTGAAGCAGTAATGCATTTCGGTTTGAAGGGTGGGGCAGCCGTTGTAACTATACTTGAGACCTTAGAAGTTATATCTCAAGGTGGGTGGCGCAAATGCGCAAATGGCAACGTAAATACGCTGTAGATGTCTATGGGCTCCAGTATAACCACTTAGCTCCAGGTGGGCTGTGAGCTCGTCCACCCATCTAAGCAATAAAAAATAATAAAAAAATAAAAAATTATGTGACTCCACTACACTTGTTCTGAAATAGCCCTATTTCATCCTTGTCTTGCATGTAACCGTTATTATGTGTGCGAAAGAAATAACTGCGAAGCAAAATAATAGGATTTAATTTCTTGAAGTACTAATTTGGTAAGAATAACTGATTTATTTCAAATATTTATCACTATCTGTTAATAAAAATTATAAAACTTACCAAAAATACTAAATTTCATGTTGTTTTCTCTTTATAAACGTGTTTTTTACATCTTTTTACAGCGCATTTTAGGATCGTTCCACTCGACGGTCGGCGTGACACTGACGGCAAAACAGTGCTTAATATGAATCTAAGCACAGTTTTGTTTGGTTACTTTTGACGCCTTTACGCGGGATCTAGTGGTAATATATCGATGGTTTCCACTGTAAAAGGTTTATTTTCATCAATTGCATGTATAGAAGACTTTGCGATATCATTTTTCAAGCCTTCGAAACATTTAATTTGCTCGCTTGTGAGTGGAAAAATCGTCGTATTAGCAAGTGAGTGGATCCGTTCAGAAAATTTTGAAATCTACTTAGAATAATGTGCGAACATGCCGAGTGTCCTTCTTAAGGTCGGTAAATCGCTTGGTGGAGGTAAATTAATCAGTGGCTTGAGTCGCTCATTGTCAGGTTTAATTATGTGGTTTTGAATATTATAGCCTAGAATATTAATTGACTTTTGAGAAAATTTGCATTTTTGTATACTCAGTGTTAAACTGTATTTCTTTGCGGCATTCATAAAACTTTCTAAGTTATGATCGTGTTCTTCAAGAGTACGGCCAGAAATAGTTATATCATCAAGATACGCATATGTGTTTTGAAGCTTCTCTTTTCTTATAATCCAATCGATTATTCGTTGGAAGCTCGTAACACCATTTGTTACTCTAAAAGGAATACGCCTAAACTGGTACGAATTTCCCAGTGCCTCAAAAGCGCTAAATTTCCTTTCTTTGGGTAGTATAGGTACTTGATGGTACGCGTTTATCAGGTCTATTAGGCTGAAAAATGTATTCTTTGCCACTTTCGAAACTAGGTCCTCAATGTTTGGTAAAGGGTACGCGTCGAGTTCTGTGTAACGATTAATTGTCTGAGAGTAATCAATTACAAGGCGTTTTTTTATGAGTTTCGCTTTTTGTTATTAGTACTTGGGCCCTCCACGGTGATTTACTTTCTTCAATCACGCCCTCTGCTATAAGGTTTCTGGTTTTTTCTTCTTTAATAAATTCACTTTCCTCTTTGTTGTGCCTTCGAGACTTTATTGCAATAGGTTTGCAGTTGGGAGATACATTCGCAAAAAACGGTACAGCTGGTACTGATGCTTCAGCTAGGTTACATACTTGAAGTGGATGTTTTGGCCCACCGAAAGAAAACTCTAGCGATGAATGTTCTTTGAGGACGTTATGGCCGATAATTATATCAGCACAAAGATTTTTCACGCTATGAAGATTCACATTATCATATCTATGATTTCCGATTTTCAGGGTTTGCCAAGTTTGACCTTCTACTTGTGAATTATAATTAAGAGAGACCATAGAAATAGTCTGATTGCAGGATTTTCTTTTTAACCCGCATAGTCTTGCAAAGTTGTCATTTATAAAACTGATGGAGCTGCCGGTGTCGAGAAGTGCTTCTGCTCTTATTCCTCGAATATAAGCGGGTACAGTAGCTTTACGTAATGAAGAAGGTGACGCTGCTGTGATACAAGCGGAAAGATCTTCAGTACCTACTACCACAGAANAGTTGTCATTTATAAAACTGATGGAGCTGCCGGTGTCGAGAAGTGCTTCTGCTCTTATTCCTCGAATATAAGCGGGTACAGTAGCTTTACGTAATGAAGAAGGTGACGCTGCTGTGATACAAGCGGAAAGATCTTCAGTACCTACTACCACAGAATTTGTAGATTTAGAAGAGCTTCTACAAACAGTGGCAAAGTGCCCTTTCTTGTTGCAGAGCTGACAAGTCTTTTCAAATGCAGGGCAGTTCTTACGAGGATGTATTTGACCCCCACAAAAGAAACATTTTTGTCGCCGAGGATTATTAACAGAAGAGCAGGTCTCGTTGTGCAGAGCTTGTGATTTCGAAGAGACTAACGTTGGTTCTGGTTGGAGCAACAGCATTTAAAGAGACAGTATTGAAGTTTTGAGAGTTGATCTCTGCAGTTTCTAGAGAGAGTGCTTGGTTGTAAGCTTGATCAAGTGTTAGAGTTAAGTTTTCTAAAAGCCTTTGTCTGATTTTATGCGATGATATACCGGATATGAAAGCATCATGTACGCTATCGTTTTTGTTTGTTTCTGCATCAACAGCCACAAAATCACAATATTTAGAAAGTAGTTTCAAAGCATGTAAATATGTGTCAATACTTTCTTCTGGTCGTTGTTTTCTTGTTGCTAACATGTGTCTAGCAAAAATCAGATTTTTTTGTTTTACATACTCGATGCCTCCAATGAAAACTACTCTAACTCAAAATTTTGAAATTGTCGTTTTTCACGCAAATCGCTTCACTAGGTTAAAAGTATTACAATTAATGATTATTGGTGGGGTTCGAAGCAAGAGTAAATCAGCTAGTTACACAAAAAAACCATAAATATATCTGCAATAATACAGATTTTAACAACTTTTTTCGTTTAAACGCTCCTCCTGTAAATCTACGAATTTGGAGTTAGCGTAGTGTTCATTGGAGGCATCGGATTACAGTTTTTGCAGTATTGTGATCGCTTCTTCGTAGTTCGTAGCTTCGCTTATATATGTGTAGATATTTGGTGATATATGGTTTACCAAAAGTTGAAACTTTATGCTGTCCCATTTTTCTGGCGGAGGAACCAACTGTGCATCTGTTTCTGGAGCGGTCGGCTTCTGCACGAAAATGAAGTTTTCGAAAGTTTTCGAAAGTTTTACGCCAGTGTATCCAAGCTCTCGTACTAGAGCTATCTGACGGGTCGATATCAAACCTTTCAGGGCGGAGATATCTATCCATTTTTTTATTTATTTAGCTTATTAAATTGTAATAAGAGAAAACCTTTACTGAATATAAGGTTTTAATAAGCTAAAATTAACAGTAAAATTTGCTTTGATTACATTAGATACATTGACAAATAACTAATAAAACAGATTGACAATGACGTCAACTTATGGCTGATAATTTCAACTAAGAAGCTTACATCAGTTAGTCACCGTGGAAGCTTCTAGCAGTTCTCGAATGTTCTTGACACATTCTTCAGCTTATTTTTAACTGTTGCCCGGGTTAAAGTTACCCATATTAGCACAAATATTCACACAACGAATTAAAATCAAGACAAGCACGTATACAACTATATAGATTATATAGATTTTTTATGAAACTACATCTGCAACATTTACTTATTATAAAAAGTACAAACTTACCTTTGAAACTTTTGAGTACGAATATAAAAAACTTTGCAGCGATGTTTCATTTGTCACACCCCTACCATTTCACAATCGAACTCAAGAAAGAAAAATTTTGCTGACAAATATCAAATTTTGGCGCGCTTTCTTCGTTCAATAATAAACCTCTTAATTAAAAATTTCAAAGTCTATAGTAAAATGAATCTAGTTTGGAAATAAAACAATAGATATGTAAAAAGTGAGTAAGTGGGCTCATGTTACACGGAAAGCTTAAGTTACCCAGGACGTTTCTCTGCCTTCGTAAGGACTTGTTGGCGGGAATGCGAGGAGTGAAGTTGTGTGATTTGTTTTATTTTGTTTAATTAGTGTTTATTCAGATTTAAATGTCTAAAAACGGTGGTTTACTAACTGTTTAGTATCTGCGAAAGTGCACAAATGTGGGAAAATGAAACTAAGCCGCTGAACGTAAACTATTGGGATACTTTAAAAAGTCCACTGAAAAAGTCTTAGTAAATGACCACCATTTTACTGAGATTATACTTCATCCCATATCATCTCATCTCATTTCATTTCGTTTTCATTTCATTTCATGCCATGTTTCATATTAGTCAACTTCATTTCATTTCTATCATTATTCATTTATAAAAGCTATCATTAAAATTAAAATAAGACTTGACCCAAAGGTCTTAGTTATCAGGTCATAAAAAGTCTTACAAAAAATCTTCCTTCATAATTTTGGACATATATTATGTGTCTAATGTCTATTCCATAGATTATACACTTAATATCTAATCTATGATTTTGGATTTTGGTTATATGTAGTTTGGCATTAAGCATTTTTTTGCAATAAATTATCAAAAAATGAATAATTCTGCAGCTAAAGTAAGTATTTTGATGTCTGGGTTAACGGAATTATCGTATTAGATGAGTGGACTACAAACGTTAAAATAATTATAGGTTGGGGAAATTTTTAGAGAGGCGGGAACTGCATTCAATAAATTATCAGAGATGACAATGCTTCTTCATCCCATGGGAGATTCGCAGCCGGGGTGAGTAAATCATTTTTAAAATTGAAAGCTTATACCAGGATTGCATAAATAAAAAATATCAAGTTTTACTCCGAAAATGATCATAATAATTATATCGTTTTCTTTTAAACCCTCCTCGACCAAACTGTATCGTGTCAGTTTGAAAAAATTGTAATATTTTTTTCTTTAAAAAATCAACAGGCTCTCCACATCGCACACCACCAAATTACAAATTGTTGATTACTTGTAGATGATCGATATCAGTTCATTTACACCATCTATAACTGAATCAATTGCAACCATAATTATTGTACAAATTCATTATTATAATTCTTTTCTTTGGACTATGGTACAATTATAGTCTGAAACTTCTATAAAAATATTTAGAATTTAATTATGCCTAGGTATTTACTACCTTGTCTATACATGTCTATGTCATGCTTTCAAGAAAAGTGGGACCTAAACCTAAACCTGGAGCTGGAGCCTGGTGGGGGCTGAACCTGTTTTATAATAACATTCATGAGTAAATTCCACAATGAAGGAATAACATAAAGTATAAAAAGAAAACCCACCAAAAAAAAAAAGTGTGTGTGTCCGCTCCGACGCACGACTGGAGTTTACTGGATATAAAAAATTAAACGAAACAATACGAGAAATAGTTCTATATTACGACAACACGATACACTACAGATTATTAACAAATTAACGAGACACAAAACAAACGACTAACAAATATATGAAAATACAATAATGAGAGAAACGCGCGATCAGTACGAGGCTTTGTGGCGGACTGCCGGCGCAGCAGCCCGGCGTCACCTGCGATAACGCATTTCGTGTGACATGCGCAATCAGGCGCATAACGCATTTCGTGTGACATGCTAGTACGATTTTGGTCCCCATAATTTTCATACCCCGGGCCTATATATGTAAATCGATTCTAAAGGAGTAAACTCCAATAAAATTTTAATAATTACTGGTGGTAGAGCATCTTGTGAGCCCGTGTGGGTTAGTACCAGCATTAGCACTGCCAGACACAGCCTATTTCTGCCCTGAAGCAGTCGACTGTTTCGGTTTGTAAGGTGGGGTACGGACTGTTTTATAACATAAACAGATACTTTCAAACATATTTCTAACAATAGGTGGTGAAATTTTCATTGTTGATGTCTTAACCAAGGTCGGTAATCACCTAGCACCAGGTGGGCTGTCAGATCATCAATTTATCTAAACAAAAAAATATTTACAACCAATGGATTCCTAAATATTGACTTATGCTGTACAGAACAATGCTGACTTACAGATTCAAAAAAATGCTTTGAATTGAATTTGCATCATTGCACTTTCCCTTTAAAAAGTACAATCTGAGGTTAGCTAATAGGTTGGTGATATCATCAACAAGATTGAATGTTTAGGTCCATAAATTTTGGTTAATTTTTCAGAGGACTTTATCTTATTCATGGGAAATTGTGCTACAGCCCATAGGGCCATTAAAAAAATACAATTGTTTTAAATTATGATTTGTAGGAAATCACAAACCAAGATACTGGTAACAAAAATTTAACAAAAAATTTAAAACTCAAATTTGATGGCCATTAAGATGTTAGACATTATTAATCATTAATATATGTTATCACAATAAAACAATTTCAAAAGGTGTTTCATCTGGACTAAGAATTCTATTACTAGGTGTATACTTAGTACCTAGAACTACCAAGTACACTACCAAGTACTAAACCTCAGTAACGTAAGCATTACACATGTATATGTACTGTATAGTAATCATACCATTAGCCTTTTTCTAGTAACTCCTTCATTTTAACAATAAAGAACAATTAATTATTTCAAATCTTGCTACATTTGGTGAGGTAAATGCTCAACTTACAGCAAAATATGTTCTGGTTATAGTCTTATAAAGCTCTATTTAGATGGGCCTTTTTTTAAATAAACAGTTATCTGAATATATTCATCATAATTTCAGAGGTAAATGGACTGAAGAAGAAATAGAAATGCTGCGCAATTGTGTACATAGATTTGCAGTAGACCTGAATAAACTCAGTCAACACATTAAGAATAGGACAGTGTAAGTCACTCATATTCAATTTGTATACACTCCATAGTTAATTTCACAATCATGCTCTATATTTACACCAAAAAAATGCAAATAAGAGGGATAGCTCATTATTTTTGTCATTGGTCATTTAGCACAATTTAAAATATCATAAATAATTTTCAAATCTGTAGGCAGTTAATAACATAAATATCCTGTCGTTCTAGAAATCAAATTCGATCAACGTTGAAGAAGAAAGCTTTTGAAGACGCAGGTATACCTGTGAGACAGGTAAGCGGCACAACAGGAAATATGGGTCAGCCACAATCCCAGGTAGCATCCCCACTGGCTGCCATCATCCCGCAGTCAGTGATAGGAAACAATGCCGAGGTTCAGAAATTCACTAATTACACAAAAATGGCACAGTCACTTATCTATCACATATATAAGAAGATAGCTTGTTCCTGCCAGTATAGTGGATGCTTATTGCAATTTTATGCACTGGTTTTATAGTCAATGGCATTGATATCTTTATCTATTCAAAAACAATCATTTTTTGACATATTATTACGTTCATGATCGTATTAGTACTTAACTCAGTATAACAATTAAAAATAATTAAAATTTACTAATTACGTTATTTGCAGTAGAAAAATGATTGTTTAATTTTGCTCTCATTGATTACTCATTGAGTACTTGTAGCTAATGGAGTTATATATTTAAAACTTATTTAAGGAGTTAAGATGCCTTTGCTAAAATAGCAGTATATTATTATTTTGATGTAGGCCAAAGGCAATATTATATACTTGTAGACATTCTCCCACTGCCCTTTTTACTATGAGTTAATGTCTTAAGAAAGTCATCATGACTGGCCTTCATATTCCAGAAATTCCAATAAAACCTGTATAAAAACTAAACTACATTAGTGATAATAGTAGTTCTAAAATATTTTATAATAATTTTGAAGATTTCATATAAAGCATATGAACAGTACAGACCACTATATGCACAAAAGTGATCACCAAAAGTCTGATTATAAATCATTTTGCATCTGAATTTTTGTTTACTTACTTAAACCAGATAAGATATTCTTGTAGTAAATTTATTTTGGCTTAGCTCGGTGATTTTCTAAGCATGATTACAGAAATGAGAGAATGAGTAAATAAGTTTAAAATAGAATGAAATATTGCTTAATAGGAGTTTTATTTGTGTTATGTGTTACTTATCAGTTAGTTTTATATATTTTAATATGGCAACGCTTGTTTAGTTAGAGCCTGTCACAAAGTTGTTATCGTTTTAAGATCGTTATCTGTATAGAACTTAAATATCAGTACTTAAAGGCAACTTAGTGTTCGGTTAATGCGCTAAGATATAAAACTTTGCTTTAGTTTGAAGACAACTTCACCGGGTTTTAAGTGGGCTACTACATGACAGACACAAGTTGCACTATAATAATGGCCATCTTACTCCTGAAAAACGAATGCATAATTGCTATGCATTATGCAAGTGATATATGCAGTATAGTATGAATTCTTTGTGACCTTCAATATGCCTTTTCACCAGTGCTATCATTTAAATTATCTAGATTATTATCATAATGATCTTAATGTTATAAAGCTGGACCACTATAATAAGTAGGTTATTGTTAGACTGTTACAAATTACTTTTACATAAACTATTTTTGGGGTAAAAAATTAAAATAGACAGATTGCAGATTTATAAGCATGCAAATGCATAGGTCTTGTACAATTATGATGAAGGTGTGGGATTATAAATTGCATGTATATAGGTATTACAATATTGCACGAAGTCAGCATGCGATCCTCTCAATGGATGGTTCTGTCCGTTTCTCTCATTGCTTATTAAATACTGTGGTCAATTTTTTTTATTTGACAGTTAAGGGCGGTGAAAAATTTTGTCCACGTTTTGGGGAATGGTTTTTGTCACTCATAGACACAGAAAAATGCATTTTAGACGAACAGGGTGCTTCCGAGCTAATGAGTGACCCGAATTTCTAGACAATTTCCGAGAGCAGTTCCAATATAAAATTAAATGAAACTAAAAAAAAAACACCAAAAGTCCTTTCGTAAACTCAGATAACCTAAATGTCCGTAATCCAAACTAATGATATCTGAAGTTCTTCGGTAGAGAGTCAAATAGCTGATAAGTTTTCAAAGATGGTCAAATTGCGACGCCGTCACAAACGAGTCTATGAATGCTTAACTTAATAAGCTTAATAAAATTTAAATCTATAAACCCTATTTGAAGGCTGTAGCCACACCAGGATGCTCAAAGATAAATCAGTGGCCGGCAATGCAAGCCTCCAATAGATAGAAAGTTATTGATATTCAGAATTAAATGCGGGGAAAGAGGATTGTGATATAGGAGCATCGTGTGTATCTTGTTCGTTTGCTATGTTCGTGTTAAGCTTAGATTCAAATTGAGGGCCTTATTGCGCGATTTTATACAGGCCTCTAAATACAAATCGGTCGTTGGATCCGGAGCTTTACACGAATTTAAAACGGTTATAAAACTACTGTAGTATGATTAAATTGTAAACGCATTTCTTTCAGGTAACGCTTAACATGTTGAACGCATCCGAGAACGAAGTTGACGTTGAAGAACTGACAAATGACGTCAAACTTGAGTTCGAGAGCGAACCCGGAAACGAGGAGGTAGCCATCAGAAATTTGTTCTAGCAATTGATATATTGATAACCCCATTCGTAACGGCTTTGTGTAAATTGAGGTTAGTCGTTGTATGGAAATCTGCTTAAAATTTGCAAATTGAAATTATTGATTCGTAATAGATCCTTGAAATCTCACTGTAGATTGTTCGAGTATTTGCAATAGCCATTGATCTTTCTAGCTTAGTTTTAGAGTAGAATAATTTAAAATTACTAACTAGTTTTCTGATCTTCGGTAAGCATGTGTGATTGTAAATTGTAGAAGAAAGAAAAACACTGATATATTAAAATAGAAATTGCACACGTAGTTAGATGTATTATTGTTTGCTGATTGTACAGATTGAAAAGGCAGTTGTCGTGGTCTGTTATTTTGACCTGGTTTTGTAATCAATAATTTTGTTTCGCAAATGTATCAAGTTCTGTAAATCTCTTATATCGTTCGAACCTTAGAAAGTTCGAGACCACTGTTCTAGTACAATCAGCTTATAATAATATAGTGGTTAATCATGTATTTTAATATGTAGAAACGAATTTATGTAAACAGATCAAAAAAAAACTTGTTGGATTTTTTTTGTACATATTTATCTGTAACATGTAACTTTTGTTATAAGCGCAAATTTATCTTACACTCCAGCTACAGGCTTTTGCTCATACTCAATACTGTACTGTGATATTTAGGTAAGGACTCGAGACTGGTGATTCTCACGTTTGTTATTGCTCAAATAATTGAATATAATAATAAGATTATCTCTTGATGAGACATTTTATAAAAACGTATTTACAAAATATATATTTTCAATGTGTTTTTTGTTTTTTTTTTTAATTAAATTCTATAAGCTCAAGGTCTTGGGTACTGTTGTTTGAAATATTGAGAATTTCAAATATTCAGATTTATAAATAGAGAATATATATTTTCTCTTTACTACCTACCTTTACTATATAGAAACGTAAACAGAGAGTGGATTTCTTCAACGCTAACCTTAATTTATTTGGAACACATACCGTCAAATTCTTTCAGTCAGATATTCAAGGTAAAGTGTACCTTAATTAATTACCTTAATTGTAAATTAACATTTTAAATAATGGATTTTGTAATTGATTGATTTACGAATAGTAAATGACAATATTTACAGTGAAAATTTTAATGGTATAAGTTTATTTATTTGTCATAAAATTGACAAAGGGTTTAAAAAATGCTAATAATCCAGAGTCAAGTAGCCTGGGCGAACACCACATCAATCTGCTAATTGTAGATTTTACCAGTATTTTTATTGCTTGTAGTCATTAACAAATGTTAATAAATGGCTGTGTATTTTTTATGACTAATATCTACTGAAAACGTTCACTCACCAGGAGCGTTTGAATAATAATCAAAAGTAGCCGTACCGTGAATTCGTAGGATGTTTTAACTCCCTAATCGTAACACTACAAATATGTGAATGTATTTTTTTCGTTTCAGTGACGCGTGTGTTCCACCTTTCATAGGAAGTCAGTACCGTATCGGATTCTTAACAAACAGAATACAGGACAGGCCAAAATACTGAACTTCAGCTTCCCATCATCGGAATATTCGTTGTTTAACCGTATCTACTATCCGAAACGCACTTCAGACACGAGGCTTGTTTCACGAACGAAAAATATAATTAACTGGCAGCTAAGGTGACAAAGGCAGGGGAAAAATTAAATAACGCCTCTAGCTAGCTTTTACCAGAGCATTAGTTTTTAAATATGGCGCTGTGAAGTAATGTCTAAATTTAATTTAGTTCTTTGCATTCGCGACAACGGCCGCTTAAGTCTGGAGTATTTATGAAAGTATTAAATGGGTACTATGAGTTTTATAAGTCGGCCATTTTGCGTAACACCAAAGTAATTTTAAATTTAATCTTATTGTTGAATTTTCTTGACATTTGTATTATTTGATTAAACGCAAACTGAAGAGTTTCATATGAAAAAAGTTTAAATATTGGTCAAAATGGGAATGCAAATACAATATGTTAAACAAAATCAGCACTATTGTTTTTTGAATTAAAAAAACAACGTAAAAGAGACGCTTCCTGAGCAGTTGATCAATGTTTTGGAATTAAACTGACTTGAGATTAAAATGCCTATTTATCACACAACAAACATGAGAATATAGTTTAGGGAATAAACGATTGCCCTAAAGCGAACGGAAAACCTTATTCGCTAACGAAAATAATACAAAAATACACTGTGATTTGTATTATTTCACAATGGCAATTTACAGCTAACACCGAAAAAAAAGAAAAATTAAATTTGAATTAAGATATGTAATTTTTGTCATGTTGTCATAAAAAATTAGCAGTGCTGCCATCTGTTTTCGTTTTTGAGAAACAATTTGTATACACGAGATTTGATGGTATAAACTGTTTCGGTCGTTTTTTTTAATGTAAAATAAATAGTTGTCAGTGGTTGTTATTAGAAAATTTTGTTTGGGTTTCTTTAACTCGTGTGTAGTACGGTCTTGTCAATAACTTTTTAGTTATTATTCGTCTGCATCACGCAACTACCTCAGAAAGCGTAACTCTTAAATGGCGGACTAGTAAAATTATCTACATACTTATAGATACTACAAAAAAGATATATATTGTATTTGGTTTTTCCAGATCTAAGAGAATTAAGCTATCGTTGTGGCCTTAAAATTTCGAACATTCTAGTGCGGAAACATAAAACTAAAATATTTAGAAACGAATTCAAAGCTATGTAACTTTATAATGCTCGATTGTGCGAACGGTATCGAGAATGTAGTTCATTGTGCTTATTGCGAATTATTTAACGTTTTCGATAGCGTAAAAGTTAACTCTTATTTATATGGAGTTGGAACGTTTGTCTACGTTTGCCGCTAGAGGCGCTGTTACAACTGCATACGAATTTGTGTTAACTTCTACGCTATCGAGAACGTTAAAAAACTCGCACTAAGCACATTGACGTAAGTCGACGTGTTCTTTGTAATGTACAAATAAAAACTTCAATTTTGTTAACGAATCGCTCCGATATAGTAAGCGTTATGAAAGGTTGGATGACTTCGGTCGTAATTTGCGATGTATTTATTAATAATGATTGTTAAATCTACTAGAAGTCTTAAGCCTTCGTCAAACAGAAGGCGTAATTAGCGCGCGTCAGAGCGCTAAACAGACGCCGCGCTATGACGCCGAGATGTGTTGTACTACTATGGTAACATACCGTCACACAGAGCCCCAGCGCTATAAGTACGCAGCGCTCTGTCGCGGCGTTAGGACGGTTTGACGTCAGGCGTTGTAATTTTTTACAAATTTTATTTTAGCGTCCGAGTGAATGTGTATTAAAATACCAGATAATGCCCGAAAAAATGATATAAATAGTTAGAAAATACCCATGCTTATACAATGCCACATCTGAATCACTCGATTTCTTAATACTTTTAAATTTTTACACTGCTATGGTAAGGCACTATGATTTGGCGAATGCGTTGCGTCAAGGAGCGTTAGACTCATCTAGTCAATTAGAAGAGCGCGACGTTAAGTACGCGGCGCTAAGTACGCGTTCTGTTTGACGAAGCCTTTAGGTGCCGTAACGTAGATAGACGGACGCAATGACATGAAAATCGCATTATGTACTCGTGTATGTAATAAAGGCGTTATTGCTTAAAATTAATTCAAGTGCTTCTAAGGACGTGTGTAATAATTATGCACACCAAATAATTATTGTAACTGTATTTGAATTAGTTATAATTGTAGTCGTTAGACGTTGCATATAGAAACTTTGACTGAACATGAGTATATAAATAAATAATTGAATAAAACAGACGGGTTCGCTTCGCGGGAACGAAGAGATAATTTCTAGGACATTTCACATTCAGTATTGTAAACTGAAAGTAGGTCATGGGATCGTTGTTCATTCGTTGTGTGTTCATTTGGAAGCAATTAGTCGATCTTACAATAGGAATGTTTCATCTCATGTTCTGTATATTGTTTTATGCGTAACAATCTTAATATATGTAGTGAAATAGGAATATTTGTATAAAAAAATAAGTATGAGCTATAAATAGTTTCAGCGCGCTAGAAAACCTCGCTATCTCTCTCGCACGTCCAAATAAACGACGATGATGACGTGAACACATAAATGCGCATCATTTTTTCTAAATTCATTTACTAACGGATCCAATTTTTTGACACCGCATAATTTATTTTGAAAGTGAGTAAAATTTAATTCTTATAAAAATTCCACAATGTGAACGACGGTCTGCGAGTGAGCGTTAAAAGTATAGCTAGCTAATTGTCGTGCAAATCGACAACCTTATATTGTAATTAGTCAATTTAAACTAGATATAAAAATTTCAGTATTTGTCCACTAAGTATTTGTTTGTACACTCGAGTGCGTAGTCTCTGGAGTAAAGCGTTAAGGAATGCATATATGATACGCACATTAGTTAATGTTATAGACACTAGTAGTATTTATGCTTGAGTCGTCTGTTCAGTGAATGTATTCAAAATGTCGAATGAGGAAAAGATACCCGGTCCATAGTAATACAAAACTTAAGTTTTTCGTGTCGAAATTGATAAGTAATGATAAGAAAAAAGTAGAGATCTCTTGTGTTACTATTGAACGGTGTATAATGATTTTTCTTCCTGATCCAGTGTACCAACCTTCGTATCCCGTTCTTAGGACAGTCTGACACCAGAACTTGCCCTCTCCTTCTCTCCTGCCCCCCCCCCCCCACTTGTCTTACTCCAGTGTATTGATTCCAATTTTCGCTTAATATCTATGGGTTGTGAGATCCCCGCCCATGGTTAAATAATATTTAAAAAAAACCAATTGATTTCACGAGAAAATGTATATTAATTAACGTTATATATATATTTATAGTTTACTAAAAATATAAATGTACAAAATGTACAAAGCGTTGCCTTAAATGTTCTGCGATTTAATTAATTGACATTAACTAGTAATAAAGTTAAGATTTCTAGTTTAATCGTAAGCCGACGATGAAGGCGATAGGTTTTTTCGTTTTAGTAGTAGTAGTAGTAGTAGTAGTAGTTAGTAGAATATTATAATTATTATATTACCTACGTATTTCTTGTTGTTAGGCGAAATCGGTTTGTGTTCTTTTATTGTCTTAATTTTCTTAAGTAGTCGCTTCTCAATACAGATAAGGTGTAAGCTCTTTTTTTAAAGCTTTTCATTATGTAATGTTTTCCCAGTATCATTACAACACCCGATTCAAGAAAATTAACAAATTCGATCCAAAAACTGTTCAAATTAGTTGAGAATTCGACAATTGAAATATAGCTTGGTGCTGAAAAAAAACGTTTGTTCAAAATTTGCATCGAAATTAAAAAATATTCTAGAAACTTATATTTTGTCGTGTTACATACAGCTTTTGATAATATTCTTAATTAAATTTGTAACACGCGCTAAAACGACGAATAGTGGTTTTTACAAATTCGAAGTAGGTGGCGCTTCAATCAACTTTTAGTGTGACCTCAATAAGTTAACTCGAATTTAATCATAGTTTAGATTCCGGAGTGAAAATTCAATACTCCAAATACTTCCTAGTGTCCAACGATGAAACTCATATTATTTTTCATAATTAGTTTAATACGATAAGTGCAATAAAATATGCATATTGAAACGACTAATGGCTTACAAGATATATACATATTTATAAACTTAAATATTGGAAAAGAGTTTAATATTATTGTTGCACTATAATAAAATTAAATGTATTATGTAACAACAAACAATTATATAGCCATATTTTAGACGAGGACACTGATAATTATAGCTTAAGCAGTGATTCATGTTCCATAATAAAGAGTCAATTGAGTGGATTTTATGGGAAGGGCATAAAAAGTCGTTTACCAATTGGTTTAGGGAAACAATTAATTTTTACCAATAATGAATTAGTACAGACTTAAATGCGTTTAGGATGTGTTTGTATTGATTTTTTCTATATATATTTTTTTCCTTTTTGGTGATGGGATATGGGATTATGCAGCGGCTTGGCTCTGCCTTTGGCATTGCTGAAGTCCATGGGCGACGGTAACCACTCACCATCAGGTATGCTCGTCTGCCTAGAAAGGCAATAAAAAAAAAAACATCGCATTCTACCTTTAACTGGGGTAAAACTGTTGCGTTCTGGTTGGTAAGGTGGGTTAGGCCTCATACAATGCTATTGGGAATTGGACCACATGTCTCAAGGTGGGTGACAGGAATCAGGTCGTGATGTCCGGTAACTATTATATTTAATGCGACATAAGCTTGTTCACCCAAAGCCACCTAAGTTCATTAGTGCCACAAAAACACTTCTGTCAAGGATATTCTAACCAGTGGAATTGTCTTTATATTTATCTAATTAACTTTATCTATATTATATCTATAGTCTAGTACTTAGAGACTATAAGAGTAAAAATCTTTATGATCGACCTCTTAAAGTATTATTTACTTAATATAGTTGTGCAATTAGTAATTTCTTGTGTCCGTTTCATGGTTTAGTTGCAAATACGAAATCACCACTTAACACCAGGTGGGCTGTGAGCTCGTCCACCCATCTAAGCAATAAAAATAAAAAAAAACAGCAAAAGAAACGAATGATATTTTCAAGAAGTATCATGACCCAGATATAAGCTTGCTCTTTCAGCTACGGCTAAATCTCGTGCTTAATATATGTATATGTTACGGTAAATGTACGCTCTTGGGTAATGTACACTTTTACCGGTAAATGTGCACATTTACTACTTCATTAGCGACCATGAAAATTCGTAACTCGGAATATTTTAAAATGAAAACTAAAGGTAGTTGGCCTTCGACAGTAAAATGTGCTTAGTATATAACTAAGTTAGTATATAATTAAGTCTGTATCTGTTATTAAATATCTAATCTAGATACTCCTAAAATAGTTTATAAGTTAAAATAGGTAACCAATCACTCGAATATAGACAAAAAAGTTAAAAGAACTTATAGAAATCACATAATATAAAAAAAAAAATCGTTATCTTTATCACTATAAAAATAAACAAAGACAAATTGTATTAAGAATATTTTTACCCTAGCATAGTTTACGTAAAATTCGTTCAAAAATAAATATCACAAGTATTAAAAAGAAGAGTATTTTTCTTTAATTACAATTTAGTTGCAATAAATTATGCAATATTAATATAAAAGTAATATTTGTAGTGTAGTTTTTTTATATATAATATAAGTATGTAGTTAAATTCAAAATGTTAAAATTAATATTTATTAATAATAAATTTATTATTAATGAAGGTTATGAATATAATATATAATATAGTTAAATAATATAGTATATGTATGGTTGGTAACATTTAATTAAAAATAATATAATGTGTTCATAGCCTGAAAGGTACGATATTCGTGATTCTTGAATGATGAGACTGTAGAAACATGCAATTTCATTTGCCAAATATTTCAAGTTCACACGCAACTGGCATCGTCTTCTACGATCAAGTAGTAACATCGTGTGATAAATAACAAGCGAAAACAGTATGTCTAAATAAAAATCTACTTTAGCGATTATTTTGAGCTCATCACACGTTATCATAATGCAGTTGATATTTGACCTCATATCTCTCAACACTATGGCTTCATTGAAATCTAAACAAATGAATAGAACAGTATTGGAAATTTTCAAGAGGTCACGCATTGTCTATTTTTGAATTTTTTATTTGCCTATTGTATGGTTATCTTTAAAAAAATCAATTACATAATGTTGTCTGGTTTAATTCAATATTAAACACAAATACATTGTAGGCGAATATTATCTAACATAAGAAACAATAAAGAGGAGTGCTTAGTTATGTAAATTACTTTAACCTCTTCAGGGGTATTATTGGCATACATGGAATTGGGTATGTACGGT